CCCTATGGGAACAGAGTGTGATATTTAAATGTTTTGATGCATCTTACATTTTTGAATCATATGAAAATTCTCCAATCATATAATTGTGAAAAAATTATGAGTTGCTTTTGTTTTTTAAATTAAAACTAATGCTCTACAGTCTTCAGGAATATCTGCTAGCTACTTAGGAGCCATATTATCAGGTGTGAGCAGACCTTTTTAAAGAGTTCTGTGTTTGACTGAATTCGGTAATGAACTCTGGGGCACCACTTTGATCCTTTTGATCCTTCGATCCATCACTCTCCTGTGTCATGGCCATGTCCTGAATGTGATCTGTATCTGGAATCAATTTTTTCTCTGAAGAGAATAAAGAGTGTTTTTTGGGGTAGACAATGATAAAATTGAGAGTTGCATGCTCTAACTTAAAACAAAAGTTTTCATAAGCTGCTTCTGTCTCTCATTCATCATATCATCAGTATTCTCCCCATATGGACCTCCAGCCCCTGACATCTGCCCCATGTTCTTCATGATCTGGAAGTAACATCTTCTTGCCCAGGTACTGATGCCCTAGAGCAGCCACAGGGATAGGACTTTTAAAAAAGACTTTAAAAAAGCTCTCCTATCTTAAGCCACATAATTTCAGAGTTTTATGGTAGCTGTAGTTCCCTTCTCCATTACTTTAACAGACCTGGGAAACCATTCTCCCTTGACAAATGGGGAAAATGAGGTTCAAACACTTGGAACCCACACACACTTCAGGAAATAGGCAGCACTTTACTATCTGTTCCACAGCAAGAGGGGTGAGGGTCTCATACCATCCAATCCCCTTGGACACACCTGGACGTCCCCTATGCTCTTCCCCTGGGAACATTCTAAAGTCATCTAGATCTAACAATTAGGTTAGCAACCCACAGAGGCAGAAAACACAGAGGAAGGGCAGTTTGGGGTATAGAGGTGAGGACAGAACCCCAGACTGGAAAGTGTGCAGCTGGAAATACCTGTGAAATATGGACGTGGACATGAACAAAGGGTATCTGGCCTGGAGTTATGAGGTGAACATGGGTGGCTGAATAAACTGCACACATGAAGCTCCTAGAAGGACTGTCTTCCTTTCCCCACCTCATCACACAACAAAGCAAGAAAACATACTGTATTTCATCAAATGCAAGATGCCACTGACCCCAAGATGAATGACTGAAAGACAAAACCTGCTCAAAATCTACCATGATGCTATGACAGCACTGATTTTAACATGCATCACAAATTCAGAGATGCTACAAGATAGAAAAAAAGATGTATCTTAGAAGAGATGAAATACGGAAGCATTTTCATTGGTAAGAGATATTTAGACTGCAGTGAACACAGGGTAGATGTTTGTTTCTGTAACTTTAGATTCTGATATTTCAAATTTATAGAAAAGTTGCATTAAAACAGGAGAAAAAAATTCCCGAACATCCGGTTCCCAGCTAACTTCACGAACTGTTTTCACCTGGCCCCATTTATCAGGCAAATTTTATCATCTCTCCACTCTCACTCTTACCCCATTTTGAACTCTGTTTCAGACTTTGTGCCATGTTGTCCTCAAGACTTGAATATGTATTTTCTGACCGCAAGGGCATAGGCACAGGACAATGGTTAAACTTGGGAAATGAAGGCACACTATTTTCTACCATCACTGGCTTCCAATTTTGTCCACCATCCCAATAATGACATTTCTAGCCATCTTTCTTCCCCTTTCCCAACCCATTCCTCTCTAAAGCATTGTGTTTATGCAGTAATCGGGCCCCTGGGTCCTGTCTCAGCTGCACACTGCCTTATGTTTCTTTGTGTGTTCCCACCTTGAGGTTTTTGAAGAGCACAGAGGCAGCAGTTGTCTAGAATACTGCACAAATGGACACTACCTGAGGTCTGCACACAGGAGATGCAGCTGATGGTGGGAATGCCCCTGGGCATGGTGTGTCCTTCTCAGGACCCCTTATCAGGAGGCACTGGTGTCTCCTTAGTGATGATGCTGACTGATCCCACAGCTAAGCTGGTATCCACAGCAGGGCAGTCATTCAGTCATTGTAAGAATATGAATTATGAGAATTTTAAGAGGTAAAATCTACAACCATTGAAGTCTTTTTCTTCAAGTACAATTTCATATAATGCAAGGTCAAAAGGAGTTTAAAATGTATCTAGAAGTACTGAATTTTAAAGACGCACAGTCACATGAACTGTCACATAGATTTTATACGTCTACAGAGCAGGGCCTGGCCACGTGTGCCTTAGGCAGGATGCCTACAAACATCCTGTTGGAAGCATTTCCTTTGGCAGGTGACCAGAAGTGAGAACAGGCCATTCCTATAGAAGGTGGCATTAGAAATGGGGAATCTGTGTTTCTGGCTGAGTTTGGGGGCACTCTCACCCAATCACTGACTTTGGTTTAGGTTCTGTAGAGCAGTGACCTCACTGAAACCACAGGCCAGAATCAGTCACCTGAACCCAGGCAGCCAGCTGGCTCTCAGGCGCTGAGACATCAGCTTCCTGGGCCAAACAGCACCCCTTCCCTGTTCTTTAAAAAAGGGACAGTGAGTTATCAGTTTTACTGCTTATTCAGAGGGTGTCACACTCATCCCTCCCACCCCTTCTTTGTGGGGAGGGGTCACCCGCAAATGGACACCTGGGCACGGGCCCCAATTGTCAGGCTTCGTCCAAGTCCATGAACACAGCCAGAAGCTGGGAGGCCCAGCGGACGGACAGACCCAGCACATCCCTCTTCAGGCTACCGCAGCACAGAGCAGGTAGACACAGGCCGGACTCAATGAGCTCCCCCTGGGGTGTGGCCAGCTGCTTGACAGTCTCCATTGAACAGGCTGCCCTACTGACTTTTAGGTAACTTGTAACTACTTACCATTTGTTGTGCTCTTGAAGCTAAATTTCGAACCAAAGACTGTTTCGTTACTATTCTACATGTTGGGTCTTGCTTACAGTTTCATGCCCCCTGTGACCCTGAGGAAACTCCACAGGCCCCAGGGTGAAGGGCGCTCCGATGGGGACCTCCCTGGCAGGCCCTGCCCACCACCCATCTCCACACCCACTAGCGAGGGTCAGGGTTTCTCGCAGTGGCCCTTCCAGCCCCAGGCTCACATTTGAAATGTTATTTCTGGGGTCAGGAGCGCACACCATACCCGCAGGAGGCCCAGCGTAGTTACTGAGACTCCCTCTTCCTTACAAATGGAAGTGGGGGTGACGGCTATTGCTGCTCCCCATGCACAGATCAGATGAGCCGCGCTGTTCAGCAGCACCGAGCTCCTTGCGTTCTGAGGAACAGGGACGACCCAGTCGACTGGGCAGCCAAGCGGGAGGCGACCTCACGTGCTTGGGCCAAAGTCTGCAGACATCTGCCCCGCACCCTGAGCGCTGCGTGCCCCAAGCACAGACACAAACCCCAGCCCTGAGGTGGAGACGACATGGGACCCTCTCCACTGACTGCTGGGAAGAGGGAGATTCGGCCAAATGCCTTACAACGGAGGCAAAGCGCGCCAGGCTCTCCCTGCAGAGCGGAGTCTCCATCCAAACCACAGTCCCCAGGGCGACTGCTCAGTACGCCAACGGAAGCAGGGCTGTGGCAGTGCCCCGTCCCTCACACTCCCCTGTGCGCCCCATCAATCCAACGGGGGACCAGGGTGTTAGGCTGGAGGAAGGAAAAGCAAGGACATGCAAACAGAACAGAGAGATGCCATAAAAGGAGAACAGACCAGACCCCGAGGTCCGTGCCTTATACGGAAAGGGGACAGCGCTCCCTGAATTCCATCCTTCTGATGTGCCAACTAAGCCCCGGATGTCAGCCTCCTCCCTCTTGGAAGGAAAAAAAGTTTCTAGTTGTCTATCATGTCACCTTTAGCCAATCATACCTCTCCACGCCCCCTAGGACAGCCGGCCCACTCCTCCCCTCCTAGCCCCTTATAAGCCCCCACCTCCCTGACCCGGCGCGCCTTCCCGGGTGTATTAACGCAGACTGGTGAACTTCGCCGGGGATTGTGCTCAAACAAACTGCCTGGCCCTTTGTTGCCTCTCGTCGCCTGCTTATTTCAGTTAGAATTTATCTTACAGAGAGAAGCGCAGGCTGGGCAAACCCATCTCCGGAGTTCCGGCTCCACAGTCCGCCAGCGCTGAGCCACCAGCGGCAAGCGGCAGCCCCCTGCGACCTGCCTCATCCACCCTGCGCCCGCGCCCCCGCGCCCTGCGCCCGCGCCCCCGCGCCCTGCTCCCGCGCTCCCGCGCCCTGCGCCCGCGCTCCCGCGCCCTGCGCCCGCGCTCCCCCGCCCCTGCGCCCGCGCTCCCGCCGTGCGTCCGCGCTCCAGCCACCTGCGTCCGCGCTCCAGCCACCTGCGTCCGCGCTCCCGCGCGCTGCCGGCAAAGCACCGCCCACCATCTCTCCCGTTAGCCCCAGAGCGGGCTTACCTCCTCTGCACACCTGGACCGCGGGGAACCGCAGGGGCGGGACCTCGCTGACTGGCAGGTGCCTGACCAATGCCGTGCCAGGGACAGAGGGGCGGAGACCAGTGGCGCCGTCTCTCCATCCCAGCCGGATACGGCAGGCTGTGAACCAGCCATTGATGCGCCGGTGGCCCAAGGCTGGGCTGGAGATGCGGCGGTTTCTGTCGCGCGCCCCACACGGTCCTACAAAGGTTCCCCACTGCGGGGCAGCTCTGCGCCCGGGGGATGCTGCTGCGGCCTGGCTGCCCTGCTGGCAGCGCACGGCTAGGGCTCCGCGGGGACGGGCGGCAGCCAGGGGCCCGGCCGGCAGGGGTCGCGCCCCTGGCCAGCGGCGCGTCGGGGCATCCAGGCGCGGGCATCGGGCACACGCTGCCCGCCGCCGGCCCTGCCCGGAGTTTCCCGCCACCTCGGCGAAGGGGAGGGAGGCCGGCGCGCATTCCTGCACTGTACCGCCCGCCCCGGCGGGGGCCCCGGTTCCCTATTTACCGCGGCCCCACGCCGCACTCCCCCTCCGGACGAGCGAGCCGCGAGCGACTTACGGAACCTGGGGCGCAGGCCCAATACCGGTCGTTGCCTCCCACCGACGCGGGGGCTCCTCCCGGGACGCGTGGGACTCGGGTGCTGGAGGCCGCCGGGCAGCGCGCCTCTCGCCCAGTCACCACCCCGCCCCTGCGTGCGCCCGGCGGGTGACTGGGCCGGACGGGGCGAATCATGGGCTCAGCTGTCTGGGGCGGGCGGGTCTTCCGGACCAGAAGCCATTGGGGGCGGGCCGGAGGGCGGTGCTGGGCTAGGGATCCCCCGGCCGGGGCGTCCGGAAAAGTTGGGGTCCCCAGGAGTGAGTCCCGTAGCCGACCGCGCCTTCTCCGCGAGCAGCGTCTCCGCTGCGGGGTTTGGCTCCCACTACCCCCCGGCTAACATCCTCTTTTGGAAACAGCCCGAGGAGCCGCAAGCCAGGCCTAAAGCTACAAGTGGTCGGTGAAGGAAAGCGCAACACCCCGGTCTTGCCCGTCCTGTCTTCCCATCATATGCGCAATGCATCAGTTTTACTGAGCATCAGGTGGTACCAGGCATTGTCCTAGGGGCTGAGAATAGGGCAGCAGTGGGGAACAATTCCCGAACGTCAGTGAGCTGTGGAAAAATGTGAGCTCGTTAAACTTGCTAAGGAGAAGCCTAATGGGAAATGGGCACAAGGCGTGCAGCGGTCATTTACTGAAGCTGGAAATAATCCTATTGCATAGTTCAGTTTGTTTTCAAGGTAAACACCTGTCACCCTCTCATCGCATTTGGTCTGTCTCTAGAGCACATTTGATGTCCGGAGAGATTAATGATGCAAAAGAAAGAAGAAACTACCTATTTCTGACGGAGTTTCTTGTACCTTGAGGTTCCAAAGAAGGCTCATAACAGGTGCCATATCAGGTCAAACCCACAGCCCCTTCCTCCCCAAGCTTTCTCCTCTCCTCTTCCTATGTGTAGGACAGATGACCTGAATCTTGCCCCCAAACTACTTTAGTCAGACGTTCCTTCCCTCAAGGCTTTTCTCAGCTGCACACTTACTGGATGGAGGGATCCAGAAGCATTAACCTGCACCCAAGATCCTTCCCAGACACCCCAGTCCATCGTTCCAACTGCTCCCGTCACGTGCCTCCTGAGTCCCTGGCTCCAAGGAGGAAGTGCTGCAGAGCAGAAGCATGAGTGCATGTCCGGGGGACGCAGAAGCCAGGGTGGAAGAGCTCCCAGTGGCCAAGGCTGGGAATGTTGATCAATGAAATAAAAGAGCACTGGGTGATGATGAATGACATCATAAAATGAAGATTCACAAGTCTGCACTGTTATAAGTTAAATAATCAGAGAAATAAACAAATAGATAGAGACGGATATATATATATACTTCCACTCTAGGATGTAAAACTTAATCATTCCCTTCCTGACTGCAGCCTGGAATTAGGAAATTGCTTAGAAAGAACAGACTATGGAAAAAGAAAACTGAAACTGTGCAGTGGCGAAATCTGGCAGAGACCACCTGAACCAAATGGTCAAGATAAACCTCAGGCGTAACCCAAACAAGATTAACATCACCAATAACATTCAGGGAATGTCAGTTACATCAAACTAATTGAAGGACACTCTGTGAAATGCCTGACCAGGGCTCCTCACAACTGTCAAGCTCAAGAAAATGAGGAAAATGTGAGAAACTTTCACAGACCAAAAGAGACACAAGAGACATGATGGCTAACTGCCATTTGGGATCCGGTGGAATCTTGGAAGAGAAAAGGAATGTTAGTGGGAACAATGATGAAATTCAAATGAAGCCTGGAGTTTAGCATGGGTTTTCCTTTGTATGTGATCTTTTTTCTCTCTCTGGCTGCTCTGAATACTATGTCCTTGCCCTTGATCTTTGCCATTTTAATTATGATGTGTCTTGGTGTTTTCCTAGGGTCCTTTGTGTTGGGAAATCTCTGCACCTCCATGATCTGAGAGACTATTTCCTTACCCAGATTGGGGAAGTTTTCAGCAATTCTTTCCTCAAAGAGACGTTTTATCCCTTTTTCCCTCTTCTTCTTCTGTTACCCCTATAATGTGAATATCGTTCCATTTGGATTTGTCGCACTGTTCTCTTAATATTCTTTCATTCCTACAGATCCTTTTTTCTTGCTGTGCCGCAGCTTCTTCTTATTCCTGTTCTCTAATTTCAATTTCATTTACTGTCTCCTCCACCTCACCTAATCTGCTTTGAAATCCTTTCTTTGTATGTTTCATTTCAGATACTGTAGTTTTCAAAGTTTCTATCTTTCTTGAACTCTTTCCTGAGGTCTTGAATATTTTTCTGCAGCATCGTGACCATGTTTATGATTTTTATTTTGAAATCTTTATCATCAGTGGTGGTGATTTCAGTTTTAGTTAGCCCTCTTTCTGGTGTTTGAGGGATTTTGGTTTGTACCAGATGCACCTGCTGTTTCATATTTCTAATGTTTACTATGAAATAACTCCATGTAGGTGGCGCCCCTAGGGCCCAGAGCTCTACTCTCTGGAGCTGTCCAGCCTGTGGAGTGACGGTGGGGCTTGCAGGCACTTGGCACCAGTGCCTGTCTGGAGGAAAGAGCTCTCCTGCTTCCTGCCCACAGTGCTGCCTTCACTACCAGGGCCATTGGGCCGAGTTCACGGAAGGTGCTTCTCTGCTACATCCCTGTAGCAGTCATAGTTGGCCTGGCACAATGGTGAGGGCTTCAGGTTTTTGAACAGTTGCCAGCTGGGAGGATGAATCAGCAGGCGGTGTATCACAGGGGGTCCTTGGCACTGCATTGCCACCCAGGAAATGGAGTGCCTGAAGTACCTGAATGTTCCCAACTTCCTGGATTGAGTGTGCTGGGATGATTTTGCCCACCTGTCCTTTCTACTGAGCATCAAGCTCTGTGTAATCCTTGCACCTTTACCAGCCCTCTCACTGTCGGGAAGTCTTTCAAAGTGAGCACCTTTTTTTGTCCCAGAGCAGCCAGGACATATATACCTGTCCTCAGTCTCTCTGAGTATTAAAACTGTCTCTGTTTTCCAACCCTGCTAATCTCCAGAGCACTATGTATTTTGTGTTCATGGCCCCAGAGTAGATCCCCGGGGGTGGGTGTTTAGTCTTAGGCTTTTACCCCCTCCCTGCTCTATTTCTCTTCCTCCCACCAGTGAGCCGGGGTGGGGGAAGGGCTTGGGTCCTGCCAGATTGTGGCTTAGCTACTATAAATGTTTCCCTAACGTCTTCTTTTTCCCCACATGTAGGCCATCTGTTGCAGTCTCCTTTCTAGTCACACTTTCAGTAATACTTGCATTTGCTGTATTTTTGTGTTATATGTGGTTTTGGGAGGAGGTTCAGCCTCACATCTCACCCTGCTATCTTGTTCGAGTCCTCATTATAAGTGTTCATAATATTCCTGGCACAAAAGTTTTAACTTTTGATGTAGTCCAATTTATCTGTTTTTTACTTTGTTGTCTAGTCTTTTGGCATAATATCCACAAAGTCAATGCCAAACCTCACGAGATAACATTTTCCCATTGTTTTCTTTGAAAAGTATTATACTTTCAGATCTTGCATTTAGTTCCTTGATGCATTTTGGATCAATATTTGTATTTAAACTAGAGTAAGGGACCAACTCCATTCTGCTGTGAGTAGATACCCAGTTTTTCTCAACACCATTTGTTGGAAAGACTCTCCCTTTCTTGAATGGTCTTGGCAACCTGGGAACAGTCACAGCCCATAGGACTGGTCTGGATGCGTGTCCTTACGCCCATACACACTGGATCCCCATGTCTTTGCAGGAAAATTTGAAGTTAGGAAGTGTGAGTCCTCTAGCTTTATTCCTTTTAAAGATTGTTTTGGCTAGTCATTGTCCCTTGAGATTTTATATGAATTTGGATGGGTTTTTCTATCTCTGCAGAAATTGTCCTTGATATTTTGAAAGGAATTGCATTGAATCTCTACGTTATGGTAGGTAGTGTGGACATCTTAATACTATTGTCTTCCAATCCATGAACATGGATGTGTTTTCATTTATTTATGTCTTACTTACTTTCTTACAGCAGTGTTTTGCAGTTTTCACTGTACAAGTCTTTCACTACCTTGGTCAAGTTAGTTTCTCCAAATTTTATCCTTTTACATGGTATGAATAGAATTGTTATAATTTCCATATCAGCTTATTTATTTTGAGTATATAGACATGGGACAGATTTTTGTGTATTGATTTTGTATCCTATCATTTTCTGAATTAATTTATTCTGACAGTATGTGTGTGTGTAGCCATTAGGGTTTTCTACATATGGTATATCGTCTACATACAATATATCTCTGTGAACAGAGATAATCCTTCCTTTTAATTCTGATGACTTTTATTTCTTTTTCCAGCATAGTCTCTGTAGGTAGAATGTGCAATACCACGTTGAATACAAATGGAGAAAGTGGGCATCCTCGCTCTGGTCCTGACCATAAATAAACAGCTTCCAGCCTCTCATCATTGAATATGATGGTTGCTGTGTTCTATCATGCATGGCTTTTATTATGTAAAAGTAGTTTATTTCTATTCTCGGTTGTTGAATGTGTCTTATTTTTTATCATGAAAGTTTTCTGAACTTAGTCCAATAGCTTGTCTACATCAATTGAAATGATCATGTGATTTTTATTCCTTCATTCTGTTAATGTGGTGTACTACCTTGATTGATTTTCTTATATTAAGCCATCCATGCATTCTAGGAATAAATCACTCTTGGACACGATCCATATATAGGTTTTTAAATATGTTGCTGAATTAGGTTTGATACTATTGAGGATTTTTGCACGAATGTTCATAAGAGATTTTAATCTGTAGTTTTCTTTTCTTATAATTTGTTTCTCCAACTTTGGTATCAGGATAATGTTGGCCTCACAGAATGAGTTTGGAAAAATTCCTTCCTCTTCAATTTTTGGGGTAAAGATTCAAAAGGATTGATATTATTTCTTCTTAAAGTTTGATAGAATTCACCAGTACAGCCATGTGGTCAAGGCACTTTGTCTTTCAGGGGATGTTAAATTATTGACTAAATCTTAGTAGGTATCAGTCTATTAAAACTTTCTCTTCTATCACGATTTCATCTCTTAGAT